GCCGCGCGTGCGCAGAGGGGCCTGGTCCGCTTCCAGCCTGCGCGCCGGGCGCTGTCCTGGCCGGCGGAGGATGACCTTGTACAGAAGCCCCGCCACAGCGCCACGCGTGGCCACCCGCCGCTCTGTCTTCCGTGTCACCTGTGCTTGTCCAGGGGCCCTCCTCCTCCTGCTCGGATGGGGTCCTATCCCGTTGCCCGCACCCATGCCCCACTCCTCGGCGCTGGGAGCTATTGTTGCCCAAGGGGGGAGGGACTGGGGCGGGGCTGACCAGCGAACTGCACATCTCAACTGTAACTCAATAAACATAAGCGACAGTCGGAGCCTCCAGCCTGTGCAGGGTGACCCCGGGCCCCCGGGGTCTACACCACACCAGCCCAGCCCCAGCCTCAGTTTCCCCGCCTCATCGCTAGGTGGGGCTGAGGCAGGTGTTTCCCCCGCCCCCCAGGGCTGACCTTGGGACACAGAGGGCTGGCTGGCTTCCCGAGACTGCCCACCCTGTCACCTCAGTATTCCCTGAACGCTGCACAGGCTGTCACGGGCCGAGCTCCCTATCCCCAGCAGGGAACAGGAGGTTGGAGATTGAGCTGAGGCTCAGTGGCCTTTGTATGGGATTAGGGCTGCAATAATTGAGCACCCACTGTATACCCGGCCACGCGTGGAGTGCCTGGCACCCATCCGCTGCGGCCCCCTCACCCCAGCCCGTCACTGGAGCCTCTGAACGTTATTCTGGAGCCCGCCCCATTCAGAATCTCTCCTCTCCCCGCGGGGCTGAGCCCCCCTGCAGTCTCAGCTGGGGGTTTGCACTGGAGACTGTGCCCTTGGTCAGTCCTGTCTGCCTGCCCTGCCAGATGGGGAGGGGCCCCTGACATCTGGCTGACACCCCTAGAATGCACAGGGCTGTTCGCCGGGGCAGAGTCATCCAGCCTAAGCTGGGCATGGTGGCATGACCTGTGCCTGTTTCTCCCAGCACCAGGGAGGCTGAGGCAGGACGCTTTGAGCCCAGCCTGGGCAGTTCAGCGAGAGCCTGTCCCAAAGTAACATTAAAAGAGGCTCAAGGAGGCCAGGCATGATGGCACATGCCTGTAATCTCAGCATTTGGGAGGCTGAGGCAGGAGGTTCACTGTGACTTTGAGGCCAGCCCGGGCTACACAGTGAGTTCAACGCCAACCTGGACTACAGAGCAGGACTCTGTGCACCCCCCCCCCCCAAAAAAAGCGGCTGGGGGTATCGCTTAGTGGTAGAGCCCTTGCTTAGCCTGTGAGGGCCTGGATCCAGTTGTTAGCACCTCAGAATGAAGAACAAAGGATGAAGGTTCTCCAGTTGGTGCTAAGTGGTGCAGCCCCGGCCCACTCCCCGAGCTGTCCTTCCTCCCTTCTTTTTTCTTGGTACTACAGATCTAAACCAACCCCTCAGCACTAAGCCATGTCCCCAGCCCTTTTTGTATTCTTTTATTTTGAGACAAGCTGTCACTAAGTCACTAGGTTGCCCAAACCTCCTGCCTCAGCCTCCCAGGGCCGAGAGAGCAGGCCTGCACCACTACTGCAGCGCTGTGCAGAGCCCAGCCAGTCCCCTGCAGCTGCCTGTGGGAATTCCCAGCAGGAGGAAGCTCCATCCGTGGCACATACTGAGGCCCAGGCAGACACAGTACTAGCGCAGGGCCCCTCAGCCCGAGGGAGTGAGCCTGGCTCTGAGAAGGGCAGAGCCCCCCCATGGGGAGCAAAAGAAACCCTGGCCAGCCCATCTGTGGGTACCCTGTGTCTGGGACATAAAAGTGGATGGAGCCAGGTATGTTAGTATAATCCTATAATCCCAGTGCTTGGAGGCTGAGGCAGGAGAATCAAGGGCAGCCTGAGCTACATAGCTCAGAGCCTCAAAAAAAAAGGGGACTCGGACCATATTGCGGGTATGAGCTAAGCTGTCCTCCAGAAGCCTGTGTGGCAGGGGATGGGATGGTGGGGCGCAGTGCTCATCTCCCTGCTCCTCCAGGGATGAGTCCACAGCTGACAGTGCTGTAGGAGGCGGGGCCTGGCTGGAGGCGGCCACTGGGATGTGACCGGGAAGGCACATCCTTGTCCCCGGCTCCTCCCCTCTCTTCCTGACTCCTGACCACCGCGAGGTGAGCAGTGTCCTCCGCCAGGCCCGCCCACCGTGCTGCTTCGGCCTTGGAGCCAGCTGGCCGTGGACTGAACCCGTGAATCGAAATAGACCTCTCTTCCTTCTAGCTGTGGGTGCCAAGTATTTGGTCCCAGCAGGGGAAGGTGACTACAACAGTCCACAAAAAGCCAGGCATGGAGGTGTAGGTCCATAATACCACTACTCAAGAGGCTGAGGCAGGAGGGCCGAAGTGAGTTCAAGGCCAGCCTGGGGTACATAGGAAGACCCAATCTCAGAAAAAGAAAGACAACCCCCAAAGACTGCCAAAGCACCAAAGTATTCCGAAGCACCTTTTGGTTTGCCCCTTGGTTTCCTCCCATGATGGGGAGTTCACTCCCTCTCCAGCAGTTACTGTGTTCACAGAGCCTCCCTGAGACAGAAAGGGATCTACCCAGGGGCTGCTGACACACATGCGCACACACACACACACACACACACACACACACGTACATGGAGCCTGCCATCTGCAGCCACTGAGGGGTTTGCTCTCAGCACAGGGAGAGCAGACACCATGACATCTGTCCAGGCTGGACGGCCACTCCAGCGCTCAGCCTCGCGCCTGGATGTCCTCAGGCCGCAGCTCCCGCTCACCCTCGGCCAGGAAGATGAGCAGCGCACGGTGCAGCAGGTGCACCCCCAAGCGCCGCCGCCGAGCTGCGGGCCAGTTCACCACCACGCCATAGTAGTGCCCTTGCTTCTGGTTGGTCAGCGTCTGGACTCCTGGGGAGATGGGAAGCAGCGTCACTGGGCCAGCTTTGGGTCCCCCTTCCCCAGCAGGAAGAGATGACAGCAAAGACCTCCCGACCCTCCCTCGAGTGAAGATAAACAATTGGAGCCAAGTACATGCACACATGGGTATAGAGCAGGTGCTCAATAATTGCTTGTTTTGTGAGGGAATGAACATCCCTGAAAGGGAAGGACCGAGGCACCCACCTAGGGCGTCCACAAGGCAGGCCTCCCGCGTGTAAGCCTCCACAGCCACCACATGCTGGAAGCAGTGCAGGGAGACCACGCCATGGCCACTGTCCCAGATGTCCAGGATGCGGCGCACCTTGGGGCAGGCCTGGGGAGCAGGGTGGGGTCAGAGGTCACTCCTGAGCCCCGCTTCCCACAGCCTGGCTGCGCTTGCCCACCTCGACCCCGTCCTCTCAGCACACCTGTCTTCCTGGCCGCCCACGGTAGCCAAGGGCCTCCCAGAGGTGGACGTCTGGCCGGGTGCGTGTCCCCTTGCCCACGTAGAAGATGGCGTGGACGAAGGTCTGAAGACACTGGGCCGGGGTCAGCGAGGAGGCTCGGGCGGGCAGGTCCTGAGTCTCCCTGGAGGAGGACGTGACTCAGAAAGTGACTGTGGCCCAGAGCCGCCCCCGCCCACAGAGCCCGCACCCGGAGCAGCCTCGAGGGCTGGAGGGGCCGGCTGCTCCCCCAGACCCTCTCATAAAGAAGCCGGTCACAGAGAGAGCCACCCCTTCCCCAAGGACACGAGCAACGTGACCCAGCCCCACGCCAGCTCCCACGCCTGGCCTTCCGCTTGGGGCACCTGGGGTCCAGCAGCAGATACGTGAAGCTGGACTTGGCAACGCCCTCCCGCCACCTCTCCGAGGGATCCGGCCGCTCGAACTGCTGGGCCAGCGCGTCCTCGTCCGCCTGGGAGTCCGGGATGCAGCCCGTCCGCAGGGCCTCGGCGAGTTCTGGGCTGTACTTTGCAAAGTCTGGGCCGGGAGGGGAAACCGAGTCAGGAACTGGAGCGAGGGTGAGTCGGGCAGCTGGCGAGAGGGGCCTGAGCGCTGGGCCTGGGGACTCCAAGCCCAAGAAGGACTCACCGGGCGTGGCCCAGCCCTCTCCCTGCCGTTGGGGGCCACAGGGCGGCTGGCTGAAGGGAACAGTGGGGCAGCGACGGTGCCCAGGCGCCGGGAGCCTGTGCCGCAGCTGTAGGCCAGGAGCGGTGGGCACCGGCGGGAGCTTGCAAGTGGGGACATGTTCCCTGTCCTCTGCGGCGCTGGCCTCGTCCTCTGTCAGCCAAAGGGCAGCCATGTCACCGCCAAAGGGCCGCTGCTCATCTGCCTGGGGGCAGAGGCCAGGCTTCTGGGGGTTGCTGTGGGCTGTGCTTGGGTCCACGAGGGGAGGGAAGAAGGTAGCCCAGGACGGGGACAGAGTCATGGCCCACAGCCGGGCGCCGAGCTCAGCCTCCTTGCCTGATGGCCCTGGCTGGCCTGTAGGCCTCAGGGCCACCCGCATGGGTCCCTGTTCTGCCTGAGGCAGTGATGGGCCCCCGACAGAATTCCTCTCCAGGGCTGTGTCCTCCGAGTCAGAAGCTTCCACCGCAGTGACAAAGGGAACTTCATCGTCGTCGTCGGAGCTGCTGTCCCAGTCCTGGCGCGGGGACTCTGAGCCTCCCTCTTCATCCGCAGCCTCCAGGGGCCCGGTGGGGCTGGCAACCCGCCGGCTGGGGCCCAGGCCCATGTCCCCACGCTCAGGCCCGGCTGGCCGTGCGGCAGGCTCAAGGGTCACCTCCGCGGCCGTGAGGCCCGCTCCTGAAGATGGGGGGGCACAGATGCACAATCAGGTCGGACATTGAGGCTGCTGTGGCAAGGGGAGAGGCAGCAAGGGAGCGGGCACGGGTTCCAAGGCCGTCCCAGCAGGCTTACTGGTGCAGGTCTGTAGCCCCAGCAGGTGGGAGGCTGAGGCAGGAGGATCCTAAGTTCAAGACCTGCCCGTACAACTTAGGTAATTAGTGATAATTAATTGATAATTAACTGTTTCAAAATGAAAAGGGGGCTGGGGATACAGCTCAGGGAGCGGGCGCTTGGACTCATCCCCAGTATAAAGGAAGGAAAGAGGAAGGAAGAATAGGAAAAAACAGACTGATCGGAGTCTCAGCGCCCCAGCCGGCACAGGCAGCGGGCGCGCACCGCCCCGCAGTCCCCTCACCGCAGGCCCCCGCGGTCACCGTCGCCGTCCTCCACGCTGGGCAGCCCGGCGGGCGCAGGTCCCGCAGGACGCGCGCACAGTCCCCGTGTCCCTGCTGCTCCGCGAGGTCCAGCGGCCGGAGCCCG